GTTTTCATTGTTTAGTAATAGATAACTGATCTGTGTTGGCTACAAGCAAACAACATCAGTCAAGGATTTAAGGTTATTTTTTTTCATTTTCAATGCAGGGTTGTATGATGAGCAAGCTGCATAACTTTGGAACACAGTTCATTGCTCAAAACCTAAGTTGGACTATTTTATGTGATTTCACAGTAATATTTACTAAATGTGAACATAATTATCAGAATAAAGTGGCATGTAAATGAGAAATACTGCTGTGTCCTCTTTGTGTTTGTCATTCTTGTGTTGGTTCAGTAATACTGATGTCCCCTGAGTTTCCATGAATTTAGGAGTGGTTTTCATTGTTTGGCAATAGATATATGATCCATGTTTGTTGTACTATAAACTTTCATGGTTATTTTATTGTCAATGTCAGGTTGTATGATGAAATTCAGATATGGTTCTCTTTATGCTACTTGTAAAACAAATAGATTGATAAGTGAATTTTAAGTCATGAAATTAAAAAAAGTGTTGAGGATGAATTTAGCAGTGTTACAGCCTGAGGGAAGAAGCTAAGTCTTCTTCCCAGATGGCAGCAGATTGAACAGACTGTTGCTGGGCTGGGTACAGTCTTTTAGTATCCTTGGGGCTTTATGGTATACCGGATGTGGGGCTGCATCAAGACTCTTTTAAATCCTCTTCCTCATCCACCTCACAAGATCACAGTGCCTGATCAGTCAGTTTCTTTTGTGAAACATTGCTTACTTGTTTTTTTTTTTTATTCCAGTAACCCTGCTCTCCTCTGCCTGCCGTTCGGTTTTCCTTGGTTACGGTCTTTGTCTCCAGCCACCACCCTCGCATTCCCTGCCTCTCTCCCCAGGATCCAAACTTAACTCAACAATCCACAATTTATTATTTTGTTTGGCACCAAATGNNTATGATTATTTGATTAACAAGACTAGTGAAAATAAAACACCTCAAAGATTTGGTACTAACCCTGTAGATCAGGGGACTCAAACAGCCAGCCCGGGGCCAATGGCATTATTTCATAAATATAATATAATCTGGCATGCAGGATTATTATTTTTAAATAAATGTTTCTAGTTGTTTCATATCAATTTAAACTACCGCTTCATTTTCCTATTAAAATAGAATCCCAATTCAATTTCTTTTGTATTATTTTGTTTGGCACCAAATGATAGCAAAGGTCAGAGGTTTAATGTGTGCACACAGTTGAAAAGCAGAGAGCAGATAGCTGAATTCAGTGAGTTACAGGTACTGAAGAAAAAAGTGTTACAACCGCACCCTGTGTTCCTATATCTCTGTTCTTTTTGATTTTTATTGGGTGTTTTGGATGTTTGCTTTTATGTTTTAAATGCAATGTATTAACTGAAGTGAAGAGTGTGATGTTTAATGCTCTACCAGTTGCCTCAAGAGACACAAAATGTGTCCTGTAAGGTTTGTTAGAAATCTGCAATGCAGAGGTCAGAATTATTGGTGGAAACACACATTTAAAATTCATTCACTTCTCACTTTAACTTATTAATTATTGTTTGTTCCATTTCTATTACAATCTGTTGAAACATCTAGAGTTTTGAACTCTTCATGTTGTAAAATATACAAAGAAAAGGATTGAGAATTGGTTTTGTAAAGAAATAGCAAACCACATACAGCACTTTTACATTCTCATTTTATAGGAAAGTATTCATGGAAAAATACAAATGTTTCAAAATTAGTATAATTAAAATATTTTAAGATACAACAAAAGAGGTTGACTTGACAGAGATAAATAGATAGATTGTAGATCAGTAACAAGTATAAGCTCTCAGATGAGGTTTTATTATTAATTCTAATCTAACTTTCCAGATAACACACTGTAACATAGTCTGTAATCTGTTTAATAGTTACTTGTTGTACAAAGGGGACTTAAAGTAGCTGTAATGAATAGGAACCAATAAAAAGTGAACATAGCATTTTGAATACTCTTCTGTTAAAGACATTTTAAAACTGTAATGACAAATAAATCATATCTTTATTCACTGTTCAAACCTGACCAGAAAAACCACTGAAGGGTGGTTAATGAAATTGTCTCCCAAACATGTGTTATCAGCCCCGTCATGTGATGTTGTGTGATCATAGGTCGTCACAACACCCTCGTTGTTCTTCATGAGGGTTAGAGATACTCTCTGTGATCCTCCAGCATGATAAAAGAAGGTGAAGTAGTAAATCCCTGGAACAGGTGCAGTGAAGATACCTGTGGAAACAGCATTTTATTCCAACATCTGACACAGCTTTATGGAAGTCCTTGAATCCTTTTTGGGGAGTGTTTTCAGACCTTGGTGGAATACACTGAAAGTGCTCTCTCTCTATTTACATAATGTAGTAATCACATCTTTCTATCACAGAATCAACACAATACATGTTTAAAATAAAAACATTAAAGTGACCAATAGTTGGAATCAGTTAATTTACACATCACTGATTTCCTAAAATTCCTGCTATATATATATATAGTAAACATTTACTCCATTTTAAAATACATGTATGTTTTTTTTATTAAAATTGTTTATTTACATTTCCAGTGTTTCCCAAAATTACTCTTTAGAAAGATAAATTAAAGATAAATAAATATCCCTTTTTTTTATAGAATTACCACATTTCCTCAGACTTACTTCTCAGGCCATTTTTCTTAGAGAAATGTCACAATTTCAATCAAAAATGGGAATGTCATTATTTTTACTAGTATTTGGTCATAAACTAAAGACCAATTGATGATGGCCCTAGATGAAAAGTTAAGGGATCAATATTATAATCCTCTGGGAATCTCTTTACCTTATTTACCCCAGAGGAAAAATCAGAGGATGATGAAAGTCTATCAAATCCATCCTCTGTGTTTTATTCCGACAGCAGTATATGAGACAGATAATCTGTGAAAAGAATCTGCTTCCTCTGGCTTGTTCCAGCGCTCGTAATGGCATTTATAACCAACAGCATCCAATCAGAGTTAAGACAGCAATTGCTGAGTTACATATTTATTTGTAAATTAAGAAATTATAAAGTCTGTACTTACCAGTGAATTGACTGTAGGCACTCTGCCCAATGTTGTTTTAACTACTTTGTAGACTACAGTTGTTATCTGTACATTGAAGGTCCAATGTGTCCACTCCCACCTGACTGCTCCACTGAACACTACATGGTCTCTTCTGTGTAAAGAAAAAAATTGTGATCACAATTATTTGTAATGTTACTTTCCACAACTCGTTATATTGGGTTTATTCTGATACCCCAAATAGTCCAAACTGAAGTCTTAAAGTTAATCAGGCCAAAAAAGTTTTTTTCCCCCAGCTTACTTTGCTCTTCAGTTCCAAAGAATCTGTTTTCACTTCCTTCCAGTCTGTATTCACCTGTCCTCAGTTGGTTCCCATAACTTGTCTGTTTTTCTTTCATGGCACCCAAAAAAAAAAAAACTCTATTCAAGAAATCACACATGTCGGGAAGCAATGAACTGTGTGTCTACTGTTATTCTGTTTCAAGGAAAAAAACAATTAACATCAAAAACCCGATGGCCAAAAAAATCAGGCACCTGCAGTAATAGCACATAAGGAACAATATAAGTAAGTTCATCTTCCAAGTGATGTACAGCGTCGTACAGTCACTTAAAAACTCTGAGTGATATTCCCTCGGCCGCTTTTCTTGTTTTTATAGAGGCCTCTGTTAAACTAATTAACATCAACAGTTGACAAGTAACTTTTGTTATCTGTTAACTATCTGTTTACCTGTTTCAGTGGATTGCAGTTGATGAAATTTACTGCAATCAATTAACTTTTGATATCCTTGGAAATGAAACCAAAATATTTCTCAACTCCCCTTCACTGGTTTACAGCAAAAGCTAATGTGTTTCAGGGGATTTTAGCGAATTAACCAATAAATAGGAGGGGAGTTATATTGAAATTATGTATTCGATTGTTTTCAGATAATACACCCCTAAACGAACAGCCGTGTACACTACTGTGGAAGCTGTGCATCATTTTATAGCATATTCATTACCAATCTGCGTTGTCCTAGACTCTATGTCATACGCGGTGCAGAAACCACTGATATGATCTCTACCAAGCAGCTGTATTTATCAGTTTTACACAAAATGCCCAGATTTTATTTACATTATACGGACACTATTAATATTGGACACTTTATTTATAACTGGTTCTTCAATTTTCATGGCTACTGCATTAGGTCATCTTTTTTTTCAAATTCCAGGACTTTTTAAAGAACATAAATATAGAATCTGCTTTTCAGTCATTACACAATAAAGCAGCACACTTCATAACATAGATCATTGAATTGATTCTATATGGGTTTCCACTTTTTCATACACATTTAAAATCTTTTTTGAATCTCTTTTGTCTTTGGTTGAAAATGTTTGTTGACATGCATTTTTTATCATCTTACAAATGTGAAGAAAAATCCACTCACAACTTTCTTGGAATTTTGATTCTGTCTCAGGATCGCCCTCTGCTTTTGGAAGAGCTGGACAGTTTGGTACAAAAAGTGTTACAACCTCACCCTGTCCCCCTATATGTCTCTGTTCTTTTTAATTTTCATTGGGTGTTTTGTGTTTCTGCTTTTATGCTTCCATTTATGTTTTAAATCCAATATGTAAATTTAAGTGATTCACTGCACAGGCTTGGCACAGCAGAGGGTGCTGTTTATTGCCCTACCAGTTGCCTCAAGAGACAAAAAATGTGTCCTTTAAGGTTTGTTGGAAATCTGTAATGCAGAGGTCAGAATCATTGGTGGAAACACACATTTGAAATTGATTTACTTCTCACTTTAACTCATTGATCATTGTTTGTTCCATTTTTATTATGATCTATTTATCCAGCTAGAGTTTTGAACTCTTTATTTTGTAAAATATGCAAATAAAAGGATTGAGAATTGGTTTTATAAAGAAATAGCAAACCACATACACCACTTTTACATTCTCATCTTTTAGGATTTCATAGAAAAACACGAACGTTTCAAAAATACTCTTAAGATGCAACAAAAGAGTTTGATTTTATTGTTTTTGAAGAGAAAAACAAGATACATAGATAGTAGATAATTAACAAGTATAAGCTCTCAGATGAGGCATTATTATTAATTCTGATCTAACTTTCCAGATAACACACTGTAACATAGTCTGTAATCTGTTTAATAGTTACTTGTACACATCCAAGTTGTACAAAGGGCACTTAAAGCAGCTGTAATAATAGGAATCAATTAAAAGTGAATAATAATAATTTCAGATCTGTTAAAAGAAATTAGAAATTGTAACTGCAATGACAAATAAATCATATCTTTATTCACTGTTCAAACCTGACGGACCAGAAAAGCACTGAAGGTGGTAGCGAGGTTGTCTCCCCACACATGTGTATTTGCAAGTAAGTGCATATACACCTGGTCCCCTTGCTGCAGCTGCAAGAACACTGCATTGCCACCGTTATCAGCCCCGTCATGTGATGTGCTGTTATCAGCGGTCTTCACAACAGCCTCGTTGTTCTTCATGAGGGTTAGAGATACTCTCTGTGATCCTCCAGCATTATAAAAGAAGGTGAAGTAGTAAATGCCTGGAACAGGTGCAGTGAAGATACCTGTGGAAACAGCATTTTATTCCAACATCTGACACAGCTTTGATGATGGCCCTAGATGAAAGGTTAAGGGATCAATATTATAACAGTTCATCCTCTGGGAATCTCTGTACCTTATTTACTCCAGAGGAAAAATCAGAGGATGATGAAAGTCTATCAGATCCATCCTCTGCGTCCCGTAGCGTCTGTGTAAAATTTCCTATCCTTCTAGCAATTCATCTCCTGGTTATCTCGATGGTGTATTGACATATACTGACCAACACTATCAGACTTAAAGCCATTCTGCTAGCATGGGTAAAATGTATACTGTATTCAGATTATAGTGGAACGGAGAAGGACCCAGTGGAAGTTATTAAAAAGAATTTGCTCTCTTTGCTTTTTTGCCTTTTTTTGTCACATTTCCTGTAACTTTCACTTTATCCTGACAGCAGTACATGAGACAGATAATCTGTTAAAAGAATCTGCTTCCTCTGGCTTATTCTAGCACTCCTAATGCCATTTACAACCAACAACAACCAATCCGAGTCATGAAAGCGATTGTTGAGTTACATATCTATTTGTAAATTAAGAAATTATAGAAAAAGTCTTTACTTACCAGTGGATTGACTGTAGGCATTGCCAATGTTTGTTTTAACTGTTCTGTAGACTAAAGTTTTATCTGTATCAAAGGGTCCAATGTGTCCACTCCCACTTATTGCTCCACTGAACACTATCATGGTTCTTTCTGTGTAAAGCAAAACATTTTGATCACATTATTTAGTAAATTTACTTCTACACTGTTATATTGTGTTTATTCTGATACCCAAAAGAATTCTCCACTGAAGTCTTAAAATTAATCAGGGCAAAAGTTTCACTTTACCTTTGCTCTTCAGTTCAAGAATCTGATTTTCACTGTCCTTCAGTCTGGTTTCACTGTCCTTCAGCCTGGTTTCTGCATCCTTCAGTCTGGTTTCACTGTCCTTCAGCCTGGTTTCCATAACTCTCTGTTTTTCTGTCATGGCACCAATCTCTTTCAGCAAATCACACATGTCTGGAAAGCATGACTGTGTTTTACTCGTTCTTTCTGTTTCAGGATCATTAACATCATCCTGGGCCAAAATCAGGCTGCAGTATAGCAGCATAGACAATACAATGGTAAAATTCATCTTCCAAGTTGATTCAGAGTCGTTCAGTCACCTAAACTCTGACTGATATGATCCCCCTGGCTGCTTTTATGTTATTTATAGAGGCTCTGTTAATTTTTAATATCACATTTGAATAACAACTTTGTTATTTTGTTGCTGACTGATGTGATCCTGATGGCTGCTTTTATGCTGTTTGATGATGACTAGTTAATTTTTAACATGCCATTTAGTACGTGACTTTATTATCTTTTTTTTTCTTTTTTCCTATGGGGATCAATAAAGGAGCATCTCATCTGATCTGTTTCATTAATTAATCATGCATATTCCATCAAAAAATGCTAATGCTAATTTCACTTTATCTTTGTTCCTCAGAATCTGGTTTTCACTTTCCTTTAGTCTGGTTTCTCTCTCATGAGATCACACATATCGGATAGCACACTGTAAAAAGTGAGACTACGGTTACTATTCATGAAGTAAATAACAGTAACCTATGCATAATAAAAAGGAAAAAGTGAAGTTTGGATTCACATTGAACTAAATACAACAAATCCCATTTGTATTAATTCAGTTTTACTTAGTTTTGTTTGAATGAAATCAGCTGTGAATCACTTAGTAGAATTTAATTGTATTTTATCAGGAAAGTCAAAGATGCAGAAATTTGTTAATTTTTACTCATTGTGAGGTCTTTAGTTTTAATCACCTTACACTAGGTCATTTTTCCAAAGGTAAGACCTTTTTAATTATCGTTTATTAATGAACAGTTTACTACAATGTACTGTGCTGTATGTCAAAATTAATTGATTTGAAGTCAGTTTGTTGTCTTTGATTTGACAAAGAGCATGGCAAGGACTGAAAAAGTGGTCTTGGCTCAATGTCACAACTTTATATTACTTTCCCAATTACTGCACAATGTTATACTGTATAATGCCCTTAAGAACAGCTAATCTAATTTCTAGCAGTTTTCCTGGCATCAGCCTGAGCTTCCACCCCTCGCCCACATAACAAGCTGGTTAGCTAGTAGTTGACTGACCGCATTAGTGCACAAATTTAAAGGTCCAGTGTCTGACATTTAGGAGGATCTATTGGCAAAAATGGAATATGACATTCATAAGTATGTTTTCATTAGTGTATAATCACCTGAATATAAGAATTGTGTTATCCTGTACAGTAGCCCAGTGGCCATCGTAGTTTCTCCTGCACACTTCACAGCCAATTTTCCTTCCCAGGCCTCTCAAATAGAGATGCGAGCAGTGGTTATTTAATTGCAATCTGCAACTTTACCTACATACTGGTCCTTTAAGAAGAAACGTTCTTGCTCTCAGAGGTGAGTAATTATGATTTACATACTACATTTTGTTTTCGGTCATGGTTTGTCTTATTTTATTGAAGTTCATGTGCGTTTCCTGTTTTATTTTGTATTTACCTCTTCCTCTCATTTAAAATCCCTTCACTTACTGCCCTTGTGTGTTCCTCTCCAGTTGTAATTGTTTTCCAAGCCCTAATCAAAAAAAGAGTTGAACCGTTTGACATACAGTAGCAGTTATTGACTTTGGCTGTCAGATTATTTATTGTCTAAACAAATGAATATGGTTTTTCTCTTTCTGTAGATGATATTCATGTGTATACAAGTAGACAACGTAAAAAGGGTAATGCTCTTTAGTAAAAACCTGGAAGGAGAGGTAGATGGCGGACTTGAGTGACTGTGTATAATAGTATTTTTGGAAGGCTGCATTAGTTTGTAATGACCGCAGTGTCACTATGATTGAATAAGTTAAAGCCGTTGACACCAAGACAAACATGCTGGTTCAC